TTATCAATTTTATGATTAATTAATTACAACATTGACGATATCCGAAATTTGGTCGTTTAAATGGGCGTGAGAAATTCAACAGTCTTATTTATAATTAACAAAGATGCTAGCAAGCTCCAAAACGTGATCATTTAAATAGACGCGAGATATTTAACAATTTTATGATTAATTAATTACAACGTTCACGATATCCGGAATTTGGTCGTTTAAATGGGCGTGAGAAATTCAACAGTCTCATTTATAATTAACAAAGATGATCGCGTGTCCCGAAATGCAATCGTTTAAATAGGCGCGAGATATTTATCAATTTTATTATTAAGTAATTACCACGTTTGCGGTATTCGGAAAGTGGTTGTTTAAATGGGTGCAAGAAATTCAACAGTCTTATTTATAATTAACAAAGATGATCGCGAGCCCCGAAACGCGATCGTTTAGATAGGCGCAAGATATTTATCAATTTTATGATTAATTAATTACAACATTGACGATATCCGGAATTTGATCGTTTAAATGGGTGCAAGAAATTCAACAGTATTATTTATAATTAACAAAGACGCTAGCGAGCTCCGAAACATGATCGTTTAAATAGGCGCGAGATATTTAACAATTTTATAATTAATTAATTACAACGTTCCCGATACCCGGAAATTGGTCGTTTAAATGGGCGCGGAAATTTTACAGTCCTATATTCAATTAACAAAGATGATTGCGAGCTTCGAAACGCGATCGTTTAAATAGGCGCGAGAGGTTTAACAATTTTATTATTAATTAATTACATCTTTTGCGATACCCGAAACGTGATCGTTTAAATAGGCGCGAGATGTTTAACAATTTTATTACTAATTAATTACAACGTTCCCGATACCCGGAAATTGGTCGTTTAAATGGTCGCGAAAAATTCTACAGTCTTATATTTAATTATCAAAGACGATCGCGAGCCACGAAACGTGATCGTTTAAATAGGCGCGAGATATTTAACCATTTTATTATTAATTAATTACATTCGCGATACCCGGAAAGTGGTAGTTTAAATGGGCGCAAAAAATTTAATAATTTTATTATTAATTAACAAAGTCTTTCGCAAGTGCGATCGCCGTGGGGTGAGCGGCGCGCGTCGCCCGAGAACAATAACCAAGATTGCGGCGTCAACGGACGATCGTTCGAAGTTAAATGATAGCGCGCCAAAGACAATGCCCACGATCTCACTATACTGAAAATATTCAATGTACTTCGTGAAATAAGTAAATGTTAAATAATTTGTGCATTTATATATTACATTTTAAATATTATCCGATGAGTTTATCCCGCATTTTCTGCTTCCTTTGATAGATTCGTTACTTATTAGATATTTATTTAGATATTTTCATTATTACACGATGTAATAAGCGATTATTACTTACATCAATAGTGCAATTAAATATTCGTAATCGCATCGACATGACGATCACTTATTGTGAGGTATTAAAAATAATAGCTAAATTGTATTTAAATTTGCGAAGAATCCGCAACACAATGCAAGTTCTGCTGGATTCTAAGCGTCGTTAAATAGTCTGTACTGATAAATGTCGCAGTAAAATAACGATTTATAATTTTTGTACTCTGTCGCTGTGATTTCTATTTCAGATAAATAAACGCGGAAGATATTTACTGCATCATTATCGCGTTGAAACGCTTACATGTCACGAAAATTAATTAAACGCGCGGACTGCTGAATATTAATTATTAAAGTCGCATTTCAAAAGATCATAGATATGGAGTCATGCGCGTCACTACTTTCTCGCTCGAGTGTCGTCGTGCGAATGGTAGCGCGGTGGTCTCGCAAACACGGCACAGGTCGATGACCTTGTATAAACAATAACACGCTGTCGCACACCCGCAAGGCCATACGCGAAATTATTTAATTTATCGCATAACGCAAACTCACTCAAATATTCTGTTCCTTACATTCTACTCCCTTTTGTAAATTCTTTATAACTCACTTATTATTGCCTTAGATAATTTCGTTACATAAGCGAGTTATTATATCGCGTAATTAAATATTCGTAATCGCGTAATGTATGACGACTTACTGCGGAGTATTAAAAGTAATAGGTAAATTATATTCAATTAATTGCACTTATCATCAAATATTAAATCCAACATCTACGTGATACAGTCTCCAGTCTTACTACTAAGAATATTTCGCAAAAGGTTAATGTAAATCATTTTATTATGATTTACTTTATGTCAAATTCTTGCATCTCCAGAAAAATAAAGTTATTTCATTTTAATAAATCGTAAAAATAGAATTTTTTTCAATTGCCACTCAATCATATGCGCAATAATCATCAGAGCGATAGTCGCGCAGATTCATGCAATGTAATCGAACTCTTTAATACAATTCTTTTTATTACCAGAAAAATGCAATGGTTTATAAAATTATCTTTCCGAAAAAGGTGCGTTTGTTAAAGTATTATATAAAGAATTTTTTTGTTATAATATATATCACGATAAAATAAAAAATAATTTTAAATAATAAAGACATGAAAAAAAGAGAACATTGCAGGTAAAAAGATGAATTTTATTTTAACATTGCATAATCGTGCAAAATCATTATGTAAGTTTCTCAACAATGTTCTTTATTGCCTAAACAAAGTTTCCTTTCGAAGTCGAAGATAAATCTCCTGTTGTATCGTAAAATACAGATGTACATACGTTGTTCTATCCAAAAATAATTAATGACTATGTTTCAATTCTATATATTATCTCCATGTATATTAAAGTTGTTACGTCAGCATTTTTCTTGTGGCTATTTATTTCACTTTCAACATGCCAATGTAACTTTGTCACCAAAATTTTTATTGTTTTCTTTATTGTTTAATATTATTTCATTTATAGAAAATTTTATATAAAAATATCAAGTTTATATATTAATTAATATTAATATTAATGTCAAATATATGGTAAGAATACAATCTGAATCTTAGAAGAAATTATGCATTTTTTAAGCACTGTAACGATTTTTAAATCGTACAATAATATTGATACTGTAGAGAGCGACTACTGCTCAGGTGTTCTTTTTCTCAGAAATGCTCACAATTCCATGCGTCCGATAATTAATTTCTATATTGGGCGAAATCGCTTAGCGTGCCGAGCAATTAAACGCACGATTCTCACGTGTAATTATTACATCAAGTCCGGTTTATTATGGCCCGAGAAGGCAGATTATCTCTTCTACTAGTCTACCGAAGATTTTTTTCTTTTTCAATCTTGGCCTATATCTCAGTGTACGCCTTCGCTTTTTTTACTGCAAATTTACAGCTACGGTATCATGCACATTCGTGGTACAACAAATAGAGACGTCCCTTTGACAGCTTCAAGAGATCGTTAGCAGAGATTTAACGCTCTATTTGCGTTGCATCTAGCGTTAAATATAGAGATCTTGAGTTCCAATTGAGTTTGTCTAATTAAGACGATTGAGTTTATCAACATTGCAATACAAAGTCTATTTCGCGTTCAAGGAACAGCTTTACAGTAAAAATAAATAAAATCAATTTCCTTTACATACCATCCTGGCGTAGAATAAAAAATATAACAGAAAATTCGATCAAATCTCGCGCGATCGCCGTATTCACAATTAGCGAATGTGCGACTGTAATTTGACGATTAAATTTCACTTTTGTGATTTAGAAAACCACACAATTTTATTCTTCTTGGAATGCAAAGCTAAATTAATTCTATATCTAATAATATTTGTGTACATATCAATTTTAGATTATAATATATTACTGCAGATTGTAAAAATCACAAAATTAAAAATTTTTTTCATTAAGATAAATTGCAAAGGGAATTTCCAATAGTATTTTGCGCATCTGTATGTACTTCAAAGATAATCACTGTATCAGTACGAGATAACAGACAAGTAGCCAGATTTGGCGTTAAAAGTGCGATGAGAGAGTAGGCTTAGCGAATTGCTTCTCCATGGCACGATTTCAACGCGAATTTCTCAGAAAGTCAAAGCGCGCATTATTCGTGATATTATCATCCGCATCTGGGCTGTACGTATGTACTCTAAAGACAATCACTGTATCAGCATGAGATAAGAAACAAGTAGCCAGATTTGGTGTTAAAAGTGCGGCGAGAGAGTATAGGCTTAGCGAATTGTCTCTCCGCGGCACGTACGATTTCAACGCGAGAAGTCGAGTTTCTTAGAAAACGGTCGGAAGACAAAGCGCGCATTATTCGTGATATTATCCTCCGTCCGATCGTCAAAATGTCACAAGCCGCGTTCAGCAGTCCATTTCGCTCGCAGGTAATTGCACGGCGGATGATTGCGAGGTACGCAGGGTAACGATCGGAAATTTTTGTCAATCAGCCTACGATTCGATAGCGTAGCAGGAAATTGCGAAATGATCGCGACCGCGAGAAAGCAGAGAGAGAGAGAGAGAGAGAGAGAGAGAGAGAGAGAGAGAAACGCGGTGACTAAAACGAAGGAGGGAAGAAAGAACGGAAAGAAAGGACGCGTATATGACACATCCTTTCGAATCGGATGATCGGCGGAAAGATGCGCGGACTCGTCTCGCCAGAGAGGGAGGGAGAGAGAGAGAGAGAGAGAGAGAGAGAGAGAGAGAGAGAGAGAGAGAGAGAGAGCATGGTAGCTAAGGTATAATAATCACGAACATGATTGCTATGTTCTCTCAGTCACTTTCAGATCCACCGAGTTACATCCTATCGCCGCAAGCCAATAACTCGTCGGCTGTCTATTTTCTTATCTCGTCTTTATTCTGTTTGAATATTATTATCGCTATTATTTTAAAGGTCTAGTCACATCCGCCCTTGAATATTAATAACGAAACAATAAAACTCATCTTCATATTATCTCATACTTTTATCATTTCTAATAATTTTTTTTATTATTTTTATATTTCAAAGTTCCCAGATACATGATAGAAATGCAAAGTCCTGACCTCCTCCGAACTGGCCAAGTCTAGCACACATTTTCCCTCATATATCTCTTCCTGCGCTCTTTTCTGTTCCTCTTTCATGTTCCTGGTAATTGTGAGTCCGGTTCTCTCGCGGTTTTGTAGGAAGCTATTCCTTTCTCTCCGTAATATACAACCGCGTGACAGTGAACCAGATCACTTCTTGGTTTAACGCGACAAATGGACTGTGACGTTAAAGATCCCGATCTGTCATCGTCTTTTCTGGCGCAATTACTATCGCGGCAATGATCTTTCATTTGCTCATCTGACTAACATCGCCGAAGATATTATCGGATAATAGTTTCATTACGAATGCACATAATGTAATACATCGCGAAAGCATTAATTATAAAAATTAAAAATTATATAAAAAGACAGAATATAGTAAATAAATACTTGAAACGATGTACTGTAAAATATAAGGAATTAATTAACTTGATAATTGTAATTAATATCAAATACGGAAAATTACATTTAGCAAATAACTAGAAAATAAATTAATAGAATGTAATAAATAAATAGATAGAATATAATAGATAGAATAAATAAATTAATAGAATATAATAAATAAATAGAATGTAATAATAAATTAATAGATATGTAATTTTTTTCAAGTTTTTCGCTTTGCAGAGGAGACACAAAGTATCTTCATCTTTCGATGTTCAAATAAAATACCGTCGGAGTCGTCGACCCGGCACGGCAATGTTATGCAAAATGCGGTTAGTTAATAACACCTCTTGGTGCGCGTTGGTTCGGTTACTTAATATTTATCGTACAGCTACGAGAAATCTCGCTGATTTCTTAGTCATGAAGCAGTCAATGAAATATTCAGTTCGTACAATATAATCTTTGTACTCTTTAAGATATCGGTGAAAAAGCAATAATGATAATAGCGGATAATTAGATAATTAATCAATTCAAAGAAAAATTGCGATAATAGGGAGATAATGGCGTAATTAGATACAAGAAAATAAAGATAGGAAATTAATATAATATAATATAATATAAAATTAATATAATATTAATATAATATTAATATAATATACGAAATAATTATGATTTCTGATAAGATAAAAAGAATAGCCACATATACTTTTAATTTGTACTCATTATTAATGCGAGGCATGTAACTAATAAAATAATGCTAATATAATGGACGTATATTTTTTACAGAATGAGAAATCAATAGCCCAATCTCCAAAATTCGAATAATCGCGACAAGTGTTTATTTAAGTGTACACAGGTAACTTTGTATGTATATATTTATATATTTTATATATTTGTTAATTAATTTAATTAGTTAAAATATTAAAAATCACAGTTAATACTTGTCAGGTGACAAAGAAAAAATAAATAGAAAAAAAACACGAACAAAGCATAATGTCCGAAATGCTTTTATTATATCTAATATTTATGTAATCGTTATCTAACAAAGTCGTCCTCTTAATTAAGTAAATCATTTAATCGCGATACGACTATAAATCGATCTGATAAATCACCTGAATGCTTACATTAATGTCCGATTAAATCATTTATATGTCGTCCTAATTTTTAATAGCATTCCGCTCGATAAACTGGCTATGTTGACAGCTTAAGATAAATTATACTTGATATATCTTTACTTTCAATTTATCGGTTGTCCAACATTACTTTATCATAAATAACAAAATTGCTACTGATTTTATTTGTCTCTCTCGTAATTAACGTAAAATAATTCGATGGTAGGATAATGAAGGTTATATAGTTTATTATTATACTCAGGACAATTTGTTTCAATGATTCGTTCTAAGATTTCGCAAATATTCGTAATTTCGTTACGTAATAAAAATTTAACAGAAAAAAACTGAATAGAGATTTAAGGATAGTTCTATGATTTTTGACATCCATAATAAGTATGCTAAACGAATTACAACTTTTTAAAGTTATTTTTCGAATGAGTGTTAAAATATAAATGTGGAAAAAACTAAAAGAGAAAGCAATCTACATATTAAAAACAACGGTAAAGAATACTAAATATTTCTAAAGATATTAAAATATCGCAATCGAGAAGTTTGGCAAAAATAATTTAATCGAAACAATGCACGATGTCCAAGTTAAAATTTACTCGATAAGTAAGAAGTGTTGGCTAGATAATTTCTTGGCAACGTTCTTGAAATACGTATACAGGGAGTTCACTTATTGTTAGTGCTTTCGAATACACATGTAGGGAATATTTTTTATTAAAAATTAAAGCAATTCTTCCTGCATATAATTTAATTGATGACGCCGTCCATCACTTTTGAAATATTTATAGTGATAGCTAATTACGGAAAAATAATTGTATAATCGATATTAAGAAATATCTTTGACCTGTTTGCGTTTCTGAATTTTAATTTGCCAAAGTAACCTCCTTTATCTGTGTCCATTAAAGAAAAATTTCAATGTCAGTTTAGCGAAGAGCGTGATGTTGTCGCTAAAGTTGTCGATCAGCGAAATGTACATTCTATACATTATATGGTATCGTGATGCTCGTCGACAGGAATGTAAATATTTCGTCGCAGAAACAAAATCGCGCACGCGTGCGGAGCGTCTTGATAATTTGGCAGAAGCGTTTCGTATGATTCGCGTGGTCGTGCATATACACGGAACCGTCGTGTAACGGGAGACGGGGCCAACCGGCCGCAACCGTTCGCGCACAGTGGAACTACATATAGAAGTGAGCGCGACTCGCGAAGCGATTCAGTCCTCTCGAAACCACGCGGCAAAAGACAATTCCTGGGTAGGCGCGGGGAACAACAATAACCGCGAATTTGTTCGCCGATGTGCCGACCATATTCGTGAATTTTTATGAATTTTTGACGAGCGGGATTTTTTCTTGACATACAGAAATACATCGGAAACGAATCTTCCGGCCAGATCTTCGCGCAAGATCTGTGTGCAACGCTGCAACTGCGAATTCCTCTTCAGTGTAAGTGAAGAAAAGATATGAAGAATACGAAATAGTAATATGAAAAACCAACAAAATCGCTTCTTTCATGGTTGCTGTTTTTCGCAAGACCGTTATGTATAAAAATTTTCTCACTTGTGTGACCGCACCAAAAAAAAAAAAAAATTTAATATTAGTGGAATCCGCTAAATCTTAAAGGATTTTATTATTGTATATGGCCTCAAGAGAAATCCTCGGAAATTAAGAGGAAAATATTCTGTGCACAATATTCTAATGGTTAGAATAATTTCGTCTTGCATTTACAGTACAAGTCTTGTACTGTAAATCTATATTTATAGTTCACATTATTTATATACTGCAGTTTGTCAGTATTTGTAATGAATAACGGAACGCGATCTTACTGCGTGTATGTTTTCGCAAATGCAGCGCAACACTTCATATAATCGTTACGGCAGAACGCAGCGATATACATTGCTTTTCGTGTTACTCGTATCGCACGTAAGAGGATATTCCGCTTGAAATAAACATATTTCTCTTAATACAAGAGAAAACCGTTAAAATAATATCTAATAGATTTTAGATGAACAGTTCACTTTATTGGAAGAGAAATACTCTTTCTGTAAAAGTTTTTTTTTTCGGTGCGATAAACACAAGGTGCGATAAACAAAGTGCTAATGCGTTAACAATTAAAACAAAAGTGCAAGTTGGAATATTGATTATCGCTCACGACATTCTTCTGTTAATTGTTAGACGATTAATATCAATGACTTGAAATAAATATTTCGCAAATATCATTAAAGTAATTTTTGAATGAGTGTACTTTTCTAACATTCTTCTGTTAGTTGTTAGACGATTAATATCAATGACTTGAAATAAATATTTCGCAAATATCATTAAAGTAATTTTTAGAATGAGTATACTTTTCTAACATGTTTATGTCAAAAAAATATGTGGACAAAAATATATAATATAACCTATAATGGCAAAAAAGAATGATATAGATTAAGATACGATTGATATGACGTCACGTAAATCGATGATTATTGCAAAAGTTCTGAATTCAATTTATTATCGAAAGATCTCTGAGAGCCCATCAAGTTTAGCTTGATTAATTAGAAGCTAAATTAACTAAAAGTTATGTATCTTATTTTATCCTATTTGCTTTTTTAAAATGTTAAACATTTATAATTAAAAAAAACGCACAAAAACAGACAACGCGGAACGAATTTTTGGTGAACTCCAGAAATTGTATAATAGAAAACTTCAGAAAATTGCGTGTGAGATTTGATGAAATTAAACTGAGAAAACATCAAGCGAGATTAGTTAAGTTATCGTTTTTTTTTCCCATTTTTGTTATTTAATACTCGCGACAATTTTATAATTTTAACAGTATGTATTTGCGCGAGTTAAAATACTTATCGTGCAGCAATGTAGCTTCACGCGAAGTCGCGACGAGTCAGTCGTGATTGATCGACGGTTAATCATCGTTTACATGCGTGCTAAATCACGGATTTAATTAACGGAGTACGATTGTCTCCGCAACCGTGAGACGTGCGGATCCATTCGTTTGTCCCGCGAAGCGTCGAAATTCGTCCGACAGCTTGGCGAATTTAATTAGTTGTTCCCACCTTGCGTTTGTTATTTGCACGATGATATAACTCGCGGTTATTCGATCTGACGATATAATTCCGCCAAACCGGGTTCAGATAACGATATTTGCACTATTATCGATTGCCTCCGTTTGCACGGTGACACAGGTAGCAGATATTCTAATGTTACGAAGTCAGTTAATGAGAAGCCTGTCAAGTCGACCTTATTATTTCGTGACTTATAAGAAGTACAAGCAAAAAAAGTTAACGGATAAGCACCGTAAATTAAATCAAATTAAAATATTAGCAGAATTAATAATATTTTATTAGGATTTTTAATTAAAAGGTTTGAAATTTGCCAGAATTTTATCACAGAGTTCACTATAATTACACCAGAATTTATCGGAGCACGCAGTAGTTGATTTTAAAACGTAGCTTGCACAACAGTAGCTCGCTGATAAAGAAAGATAGCCAGAGAAACGTATACATATATTTGCCAATTTATTTGCATCTGTCATTTTTATCGCGTTTTCCGGTCGCAGTTCCTTCAAATAAGAGTGTCACGGAGTTAAGGGGTAATTTTCATAATTTATTACCATAATGATAAGATAAAATTGAGATGTTAATATTTTGCATATTAAAAGCTCAAAAATCGTAATGTCACTATACGCTCTATTTTCAGTGATCGCCTAATTGCGCCGACATGGAGCAGAATGGTATCTCCATAATATCGCCGTCGGGTGTCACGGAAAACTCCGCCAGAAAGTCCAAAAGTATCGGCATCACGTTCAGATCCAATAGTGCAATACAGTCGGCGAAGGAGAGGCTGAAGGCACCCTGTGAGTACGAATGAATGACGCGATCATAATGGAATATATGGATACACAAAGAAATCGAAAGTAAAAATCCCGTTTCTGAAACGTAAGATGTAAACTAAGAATAATTCGACGAATACGTTCGATAGAAGAGTTAATCGCGCTTGATCGTTTTGGAAAGATCTTTGCGACGTGAAGTTCAGAAATTTTATACTTTACGTTTCTACTATATAAGATTATACGTTTAATTTCGCGAATTTAATAATAAATTTTAGATCTATAAATTTAATAATTAAAGAGTAATGGAAGCAGTTTATATAAAATCGTCAGTTAATTTCAATATATTTTTTTAAGGAAAAGTTAGACTCGTATTTGGATATCTCAAATTTCCACGCTTCCCATATTTCTATACACTCTTCTGTTTTCAAACGAAGATCGATTCGCGAATCTTTTAAGCGGATTTCGCACGGTGGCGGGAGGGGGCGAGGAGAGGCGGGGTCAAAGTTCACAAATCTTTCGCCGTATAAAAATCCGATCGAAACGGAGCGATCCGATTTTTATCTCGAATATCGACATCGTCGCAGGAATCTGTGTTGAAAAAAAAAACCGAGCGCGACACGCCGGGGAATATCAACGCCGACCGAGTGAATAATGGCGCGTACACGCGCTTCCAGTCGGCCAGTGACAAATCTTCCCCGCTCTCGCGCGAAACGCCGGAACGAATTTCATTATAATTCATAGAGGTTCCCGTCCATTAGAACGCCGGAACTTACCTCGCGGCTATGTCCCCGCACACGAGGGTACATATATCAATCTGAGGCGGCTCCGAACTTTTAATTAGGTATCACATCTGATTTTGCGGGCGATTAATCGCGCTCGTCCGTCCCCTCGATATCTATCTCGCGGACCCCGCATATATACTTATCGCGCGCGAAGTGATCGAATTTCATTAGAGCAAACACTCAGTTGCAAGATGTTTCTGTTCATCAACGACACGCACACGCGAATTTTTTTTATTCTTTCTACAGTAATGATTTGTGATTCATCTTATTACTTTTTAAGTTAATCTTTTATTGTAAATCTTTATATTTATCCTCAGAATGTCGCGGATTCTCTCTGACAAGTCCTGCACGCGAATCCTCGAATATACATACCTATATATATGCAAAGGAATACAATTTTTATAAATCTCAATTTTTCTTATTGACATATAATTCGCGATTCGCTGCGAAAGAAACTCGCAGCCAGCGGGAATCCTATTGGATCTGGGAATAGAAACGCATACGCGGGAGATCTCCACGAAAAAGTCGAGCGCGAAGGTGCGACGTTGCGCTTCACACAGATGCGGGATCGATCGTGTAACATAACATGGAAAGGCTTCGCGCAGAGCGCGATCGTTCGTTCCCTGCTTTCGAGATTGACCTTAAACTCGTGAATCGGCTCTGCCTTCGCGAGGCAGCGCAACCGACCTCCTATTCCGTGAAATATATTTCTCGCCGTCGCGTCGCCGGCGATCTCCTTCTCCGGTGAAAGAAAGAAGAAAGCGGCGGCTTGCATTATATACCTAAAGCGCATGCTAAGCGCGACGCGATCTAGAAGCGCACCATCCTGCCCGACCTGAAAATTGGGTCGGAAATCGGATTTGACTACGAGAGAATTTCTCTCTTTCGCGCGCGCGCGCTGCGTTTCCGTTGCGAATTTCACCGTATCTTGGAGACACCCTCAGATGCGAGGTGGATGTCTCGGTGATCCGGAAAATTAGGTTCTCGCGCGTAAATAACGTTATCGAGAGTCCGTACCGTATCGAAGTAGTGGATCGTGCATTATTATGCGGGCGACGTTCTCTTGGATCGAAAAAAAAAAAAAAAGAAAAATTCCCTCGCTTCCGATAGTGATTAATATGTTTCGTGAACCCGCGACTTTACAACATTCTTAGTTATTGGTTTATAAATGTTCTTATTAGTCAGATTTAGTTAGAAATTACGTTTTTTGCTCGCTATAAAATCAGGAACAATTTAATTCGTTCACAGTACATCCGCAGTATCAATTTATAACAGATGTTTCTCTCACAATCGCGTTCATTATAGCAGCAAGGTATACAGCACAGTTTTCTTTTTCTCCTTCGCTTTTACTAATATAAAATGCACGAATTTTTAATACTTTCAGCTATTGTGTGCAGCACGACGGGAGAATTTCCGATCGACGCGCACCTGGCGCGCTTTGATCTAGAAAGCAGGCCGGCGTTCTTCTTTTAACGAGCGTATTTCGGTCGTATTTCTCTAGGAAGAAGAAAGTGCATAATGCAACCGCGTCAGGAAACCGCGCGGCTGCAGCGCTCGGACGTTTTTACGAGACACGTCGTACGCGGGGGGCAGTCCCGCTAACGAAATTAGACGATTACGAAGCGAGACGCGTGATGCGGATAACATATTCTTTCCATCCTTTTCTCCGTTCTGCGAGCGCGGGAGCGGCGAGGGAGGAAGTCTTAATTTTAGACAATTCGATCTCGTCTCTTCATTCGATCTTGTCTAGCTCGTTACGCATATTCATGGAGTATCTATGAGATGTTAATTAACCGGTATTATTTCCGTTGAACGTCGCGCGTTCGCTCACAATGGCTTCACGAAAGTCTCGGATTAAAAAAAAAAAAAAAGAAGAAGATGCCGCGGTGAGAGGAATTGATTATTCCCGAATGGCTTTTTGTGAATTCTATCTTCTTGAGAAAATCTAGGCGAACGATATCGCGCGCGCGGAATGCTAAGTTATCCCCGTGTGTACTTTCACCCGTGTTTCGTGTCGCGATGTAAGCCTGATTTATAATCGCGAAAATACGTGCGGTGGGTCTTTAGGAATTAATTTAAATTTAATAGCTCGAGCAGTTGTAAGGAGCAGATATTCGCGGATGCGGGTCACGCGTTATCTCAAAATCCCTATCTCTTGCCGTAGAACGCCGCGGTAAACAGTTAGCAACTTGTTCCAAGCCACGTTGACGCGAATAAGCCACGAAAAGAGTTCACGAATATTTGCTTCACGCTAGAAATGAATTCAGTTCACGTAGGCCAAAAAATAAAAATTCCAATATGATCAAAGTATGCCGTAATAAATTTTCTAGCTTCTTAACTCAATGTGTCTATATATTTCAGATAAAAAAATAAGACGCAACAGAGTATTTAAAATGTAAACTTGAAATATCTTTTAGCAAAATTTCTAAAATGGGGATTAAAAAAAAGTGCACAGAGAAATTTAACAAGATAGACCAAATAACGGCGAGTTCTCCGCCTCTTTTGTACCCGGCGTAGAAAGTAGTTCGAGCGGCGAATTATGCGCGATGATGTATGTACGCGAACGTGTGTGTGTGTGTGTATGTGTATATATCCGTGAAGAACAGCTTCCGGTACGAAGGATAGTATTACCTATATCCGATCTGACGAAATAAAATTTTGAAACTTTTCATCGGTTCAAAAGCCGCCTTTGCATTACGTCGCCGGGCAATATTCAGTTAATGATTCACCGCTCGCGGTCGAGTGAAACCTTCGTCGTTATACAGTCTTATGTCATCCGTTATTGAATTACAGTGCATTATATATGTAGTTTACAGTTCCGGTAAATAAAATTGGCAATTTGGAAAATACGCGCGCCTCACGTAGGTCTCGTTTCGCTATTTTTATCGTTGAAATTACGTGGCATGATGGATTCGCGGTGGGCCGTTCTGAAACGTTATACGCCGTAGATACGTATTTTACGGCGGCGCTGACTTTTCTCTGACGTAAAAGTTACGCTACTACGAGATATGTATTTGCAGTGCGAATACATCAACGTCGACAGTAAATATTTCTTCGCCGTGTCGTCACCAGATTTAAAGGAGTTCAGCCGGCGACAGCGGCCGGTGATAAATCGAATTATGTTAATGCATGCAAAATAACTTTTGACCGAATCGCGGTTGGTTTTTGTAATTTCGTAACAGAGGGAGTGCTGTGGAAACACGTAGCGATCAACTATAGTTGTGTTTTATTTCCTCGATTTTATGATATAGATCAGACTAAATCGAAGATGAAAGTGTGTGATACATTCTTCTCTTTCACAATTATCATAATCACCTCTCGCTTTACTTCACATCTTAATTCGTGCCCTCGTCGGAATCTCGAGAATTTGCAACCGATCTTATCGGACACGCGGGTAGCTGCGCTCCAGATTCTCCGAGAAGGCATAATTATAGCCAGACTGCAGGAATCCGTTGAATCGAATAAGAGAGGCGCTCTGAGAAAATTTAGCACATCGTGATATTCTCTCGCGTTTTCAGGAAATGCAGAGTTCGACTCTTCCTCGCATTTGCAACGATTTATCCGGGCAATCACCCGGTAATTTACCGATACTTCCTTTCGGTCTGTTCTCACGACGGTTGCTCCATTTCCACGATCCGTGTGACGATACAGTGGGATAGACAGAAAAACGCTGCGGCAGTGAGAATGCAATTAATGCGAGACAATGTCCTTTGTACCGCCGTAACGCGATGTTATTATCCATATCTGCTACGTACATGTTTTTTGGGGAAATTCTTGGGAAAAGTACAGACGTAACTTGTAATAATATAGATACAATATCGATAAAAATATCATATGTAAATAGCAAAATTAGTGCTAAAACATTAATGTTAACGTAAACTAAAATTAACTGAGTTAACTATAATGTGAAAAATACTCTAAATAAAATTATATAATGATAATATCATAATAATAAAATCAATAAATGAAATGTAAAAAATAGATAAAAGGTTTTAATGGTTTATATATATATTTTTTCGAGCATTTAACAATCCTCGAAACTCTTGGAGTGCTATTCCTCCATAATTCATAAACATCGATATCCGTTGTACCAAATATTTCAAACGTTTTTCAATCGTTTTTAAATTTTAACGGCTAACACTTCGTGCAGATAGCGTTTGCTTATTCTGCGGTATTTCGCATCGCTGCTTCGTTCTCGTCGCGATGGATTTCTCGAGAGAGGGAAAATTCAGAGGATCTCTC